TGTAATCCGAAAAGTCAATTTATAATAGAATATTTACTTCGATTCGGCTAAAGAAAAAAACATTTATTTATTATTATATTCAGAGAATAATATTTAATTTATTATTTATACTTATCTTACTTATGTTTACCCTACATATGCTTCTTTGAATGAGAAATTTAATTTGTTGACTGATTCAGATTCAGATTTGTTAAAATATCTCTTATGCGCAACTCTTGAACAGGTAGGTAGTAAAATAATTTTCTTTCTTTACGAATTTTATAAACTTTTCACGAACATAAAAATTGAAAGATTTTCAGAGAACAAATAACTTTTCTTGAACATTTAAACCAAAGGAAAATCTTTTCCCATTAATAAAGAATGAATAATTAATATCTCACACAAGAGGAATCTTCATCCTTGAAATTGTTACGTCCTGCTGATTCAGCGGACCCTAAGCTTCTTTTATAAATAAGGGAAATCGAATTTATTACTTATCATATGGCCGAATGCGCTCAGGCATGATACCACACGATGATATCTCTGGAATTTTCGATACCTCGAAGATACGATACCTCGAAGATACTAACAATCTTGAACCAACTTCTATCCTGTTTCCCACGCGCTTAATCATTGATAACAGTACCACGACGTCGTTCTTAGAAATATCGATATTTACTTTTTAAGATAGCTGCCACGTTTTTTTATTTACAAAAGACTTCCGAAATCCTCTTATTGCTACATGCATCTTATCTCCTATAAAATAATCTTCTGGAACATTTCCCCCAAAACCCCACTCTCTCAACCGAGTTGACTTTTTGAGAAAAGTCAAAAGCCTCGCTCACTTCTCGCCGATCCAGCAGCCAGGACAGACGCTTCTCTCCAGCACCCCTTCAGGGTTTCTTAACAATCAAGCCAACTTGTGGCTTAGACCGACCAGTATTCTTCACTTGTTAATTATTCGGTGCAACGATCTTGTGCTTTCTTGGACCATTGAGAGCGATCCTGCCGAAACCAGCTGCTTGTCCTTGGCGCAAACTTGAGGCATTTATCCTCACAGAGACGCAGCAACACACCTTTCATTGTCTACTAAGATCAGAGAAGTCCAGCAGTAAGTTATTTATATTTTCTTTTACATGAGTGACCTCTTTCGTTTCATTTTTTATCTTTCTTCTCTCTTCTTTTCTTTCCTTTCGTTTTACTTCCGTTTTCTATCCCCTCTTGGCATTCCTCCTTAATTGTTAAATCAGATGTCAGTGGCCCAATCCTTTTGATCACAGTCGGACATAACGAACACGGAGTATTGTTCTGAGTAATCGAGAATCATTGTTCTGAGCGCGATTGTTAACCACATATGTATACGGACACATTATAGAAATCTTACAAATTTTATTTCATTGTGAACTTCCGTCTAATCACTAATAAAATAAGTTGTTTGTAATTGTAAACCAATCACGTTTTCCAAATAATTATTCTCAACCAAAAATTCTCCCTTCCTCAACCGTCGCTCACGGTCCTATCCCAGGTAAAAGAGGATTCAGTTCCTTGATCTAAATAAAGGACCACCGACGTAGCTCCGACGTACGTCTGCGCCAGATAAGGGGTCATTCCGATCCTTGATCTGTTCCGCAGATTTGCGAGTACGTCGGAGCTTGCGAAAGCAAGCGTCAAGTTGCGTTCCTCCTGCAGGACGTAACAAAATCACCGCGCGATTTTGCTTTTAGAAAAGTATAATATTGATGCGTAATAGTAACTGTTCCGTAACGGCACGTGATGCATACGGAAAGTCGGTGCGAGTCGACGCTGCAGGGCGGGCGGCCTGGTTCCCGGGGCGTTCTCGCTAGCGGCGGGGGACGCGGGTTCTCGCGAGCAAGCGCGCGGGACTCCCGGTAAGATCCAATCGCGGCCGCTACACGGCGCGGCTCGCGATTCCGCTGCCCGCAGGCAAAGATTCGACGCTCGGATATATAAACCGGGGCGCCGTGCCTAGTACCTTGCCTTGTCTTCTGCCTGGCGTTTTGGTAGCAAGTAGTGCTACGCGTTCGTGCATGTGTACTGATGATTACCGACGCGCTTTTCTAGGCTTCCTAGGGCGATCGGTCTTCCGTTTCAGATTCGAACCACTGCTCTATATACTCTGCTGAGTTGAAGGTGGCGCCGATACACCCTGCTGGGTTGAGGCTAATGGTTCGAATCTCGTTTTGTGATCTCGGGCTCACGGCGTTGCCGTGATCTTAGGAGCGACTCGACCGTCTCCTCGGAGCTTCGAGCTTCCTTGTTGCCCAAGTGTCCGTAGGGGCCTTGGCGATTTAGGAGCGGCTCGGTCGCAGTCCTAGAGCGTTTGCGCTCCTTCGTCCAAGTGTCCGTTGGGAACTTGGCTTTCTCGCAGGAGCGACTCGGTCGTCCTGCGAGCCGGAGCTCTCGGAGCTCCATTCCACGCGTCCTCGGGACCGTGGCTGGCTATTGGCCGTTACGTCCGGAAGGGCAGGCCATCCGAAACGACGGAGGTCGTTTCGTTGCA